TGGATTTATGTAATGATTGTCCGACTAATGGCCACTTATGATGCAATTACTTGGTAGCCGAAGGCTTTACAGAAAACGGCCCAAGCGAAGCTCCCTGGCTCACAGAGACAGGCTTGTCTGGCAATCAGTGTTGCCATCAGTGGTGCAATTCCGGATCTGCTTCTTGAACCTGAACTGATGTGAAGTTTTCAGAAAAATCCATAAACGTCTAACCTACCATCGATCGTGAGTCACGCTGTATACAAGTGCGATTCCGGATCTACTCCTTGAACCTAAAGTGGAATCCTAATAACTGTCGATCCTCTACCATTAATTAGAAGCTTCAGACGGGACTCTTAAGAGACTCTTTCTGAAATGACCACCAAACTCATTACAATCGGACATACTGAGAATCTACTGAGACATTGTAATCTTCGAATAGAGGCTGCTGCATCGAAATCGAGTAATTTGTTCTATGAACTTATGCATTTAGATTCAGAAAACATTTCTAATTTGTTAACTCGTCATTGAATTGGATAGAAAGTTGTGCTCAGGGCGAAATGAAAATATGAAAGAATCTCGTTCAGATTATTGGAACTATTGATTGAGAGAATATAAAATATAATAATGATGCAGTTCGAAATCAAATTAATTCCAGTACACCATATTACAAGGTTGTCCGTCAGTTATTTCTGTAGCTTTATATCTCAATAAATATTCATTCTACTGTGTCGTAATATATACTGATCAAATGAGAATTCTGTATATTTTATCCAAATTTTAATTTTTTGCCTCTCTTCAGGTTATTACTATATAATATCGTTGAACGATTTTCGGACAATTCCTCTCTACGAATCCAAATTAATTGAAAGAGCTGCCGAAACAGCACAAAAAAATGAACCAGGCAGTTGATAATTATAGCAAACCAACGTCGAATGCACTGTTCAACGTTGGTTTGCTAAATTTCGTTAGAGAAATTTTGGCCACGAAAATAAGCACACAACGAGTGTGGAGTCATCTGCATAAAAAATGGAAGACACATCAGAGTTAATACTCATACATAAATCATTGAAATATATAATAAATAGCAAGGGTCCTAAAACGGAGCCCCGAGGGACACCAAACGTAACTGGGTACTCAGCAGATCTTCGACCGGAGACACTCACAAAATACTTTCGTTCCTCCAAATATGATGAAAAAAGCTTCAAAGCCACGCCTCTAACCCCATATCTTTCCAATTTTAATAGCAAGAAATCATGTCGTATCGTATCAAATGCCCTTGACAGGTCGTAAAGCTTCGCCTCACAGAACTGACGATTCTCAAAGGCATCCACAACAACTTCATAAAATTCACATAGAGCCAATACAGTAGACTGGTTAGGTCTATAGCCAAATTGCGCATTACACAGTAGCCTATTTGACTCGAAAAATTGGAGTAATCCAGGACGAGGATTTGAAAACCCTGGTGGAGATTGACTCATCACAAACGTTGCGTGAGATGGCGGAAGAACTGAACGTCAGCTTCCTTGCGGTTTCTGATGGTTCAATGGAAAGGTCGAGAAGCTCGAAAAGTGGGTACCCCACGATTTCAAGGATCGATGGAAATTCTCATATTTCGAGGTCTATCCTTATTTGCTTTTGCGCAACCAAAAAGTTCCTTTTCTGAATCAGATAGTCACATGTGACGATAAGTGGATCCTCTACAACAACAGGATACGTTCAAGACAGTGGTTGGATACCAATGAGTCAACCAGACACTTTCCAAAGGCGAAAACCCACCTTGAAAACACCATGGTCACTGTATGGAGATACGCGGCTGGTGTGATTCAGTATAACTTTCTGCAACCGGGTCAAACCATCACAGCAGAGTCTATCCGTGAGGAAATCGACGAAGTTTACCGTAAATTGCGTCAGCAGCAGCCAGCACTGATCGACAGGAGAGATCCGATCCTGTTCCACGACAACCTATGTCCGCACGTTTCACAAATCACCGTCCAAAAATTAAACGAATATAGCGTCAAAATTCTGCCTCACCCACCATACTCCCCCGATCTCTCGCCAAAGGACAACCAACTTTTCAAACACTTCGATAACTTCTTCACGGAAGAGACCTTCGCATATCAGAACCAGGCAATAATGGCTTTCGTCAACTTCATCGAATCCCGAGCACACTGAGAAGATCAAGTGTTGTTATATCATTATTTACTAATAAAGTAAAGGGGACAAACATTGACATTAGTGTCCGACCGACTCTCAGTTTTGACCGAAATCGAAACTTCCTTACAAGGATTATGTTTTGAGGGAAAAATGAAGAAAAGGTTATTTTAATCAGTTAGTCCTTATTTTTTTATCTTTCAATCACAATGTTATGCAGTCTTCGACATATTTACTTATTGATAATCAACATAATAAACCCTTATTTGAGAAAAAATATTAATGGCACGTTAAAAATACTTAAAATAGGTGAGGTGTTTATTTGAGTAGGTGTAGATCCTTCTTTTGAATATTATTGATGGGTTTTCAAAAATATTAAACATAAAATTACTTATTTGAGCTGTTACCTAATATCACTTGCATGAAATTTAACTAGCCGAACATGACCGATTACAGCGCGGGAACTCCCGAATGCAGTTTCGGTTTCGGTCGTAGTTTCGGCAGGTTTGCCGCCGAAACCAAAACTAAACCGAAACCCGTTTCTTGCCGAAACTCGACCGAAACCGAAACAGAACTTTCGGTCGGACACTAATTGACATATCTTCATAATTAATTTTTTTCAGATCTGATTTTTTTCATTCTCTAATAATTTCCTGAGAGAGGCATACTATATAGTAATACTAAGCAAAGATGGACTTAATGTTGTGATTTTTATTTCATAAAAAAAAAAAAAAATTGTCCGGTGTCAATGTTACCCCATAGATAGTATAACATTGACAACCCATATAAATTTAAGCCCAAGTCAATCATTAAGCAAAACTGGCACACATAAATTTGTTTTATGGTCGTTTTAGGTAGAAATGAACAGTTTTTCCTTTTTTTTTATAGCTAAGGACTTATTGCCATTGCGGAACGGATTTGGTTGATCAAGTTTTTGCACGTAGTCTTGCACACATTTTTGGAGTTGTAGTCGGTCAAATCGATAGCCTCCCTTGTCAAACTCAACTAACGTTTACACTAACATTTTCCCTTCTTCACAGGTTGAAACTGTAGGATGTCCAACAGCTTCACACTTAAATCCTTTAAAATGGTTGTCCGGTTTATGCCATAACGTTGAGCGGTTTCCTTGAAACCGTCACCATTTCTAACTGCTTGTAGAGCTTTTTGCATACCCTCCTGGTCATAGGGCTTGTACTTTCGAATATTAGGGTGCCTGGGTTTCTTTGTGCGTGCCATCTAAAAAAAATCTGAGAGTCAAATTTGACCTAAGGATTACATTGACTGTGACAATGTTGGACTAGGTGCTAACATTGACACTGTTAAACATAACCTTAAATTTCCTATAACACCAAAACTTTGGGCCACCGTTATAAATCCACAGGTTGCTGCGGAGCATACCCATCACGTCTTTGCCAAGCCTTCGGATGGTAATAGAACACCGTAAGGAGAAAATAGTATGGCTACCAATGTGATCACATTTTTTATTTTATTTATAAATTGTGTCAATGTAATACCAATGTCAATGTTGGTCCGCGTTACCACCAAAATATACAAAATGAAATAGTAGCAGGGGAGTCCACGATGCAAAAGGGGGATTTACTCGAGCGTCATTGAGACATATTAGGTTGCAAAGCTCAGATGATAAGAAAAGAAAAAGTTATATACCCTTTCATCGGTAGGGGAAGCGGCTATAGATTTTTAAATATGTAAAAAAATANTAATAAATTAAAGAATTTACTGTCTTGAACAAATTTATTTCTAACGATATTTCACTATCACAAACTAATTTATTTACAACACTTAGCAACTAACGTTTAATTTATTTCCACTATTTGAATTCCTTGTTTAACCGCTCCATTAACTTTCTTAACTCAACTGCCCTCTCTCCTCTCTTGACGAGTAGCCGGCCTTATATATCGGTAACGATCGTTCTAGAATTCTACAGTCGTTCGGTACTCGCCTAGAAATTTCCCTGCGGCTTCATTCTTTCGCGGTCAGTTAAAACTTTATTCGATGAATCGGCTGGCGTATAGGTCAGGCTTCATATTTGTCACAATAGAGACAAATCGCACGAAAAGAAAACAGATTGTGAAAATAAGAAATGTGATAAGCAGTGAATAGAAAATCAAATGTGTGGTCCGTTGCTTTTTAGTATTCATGTGTTTTTGATTGAAACCACAGGACGCATAGGCGATATTGTTGTTCTTCACACTGTTCGACCATAAACAGATTTCCTTGAACCTCGCCAATTTGTAATAACAAATCTACACTTCCTCAATTTTATTCAAATAACCATCCAAAACTTCTTCAAGATATCTCCAGCTGACCATATGAAGCATTTAGGGGTTCTCATATATCCTTACATGAATTGGGACTTTCATATTAACTATATCGTGAAAAAAATGCGATGTATACTTTACAAGTTTCGTCAATGAAAAACAGACTTGACATCGAACAAAAAAAAATAATCCACTTCTGTTTGGTACAAAGCTATTTGATATGCTTCATAATAGACTGGGCGATGAACCCAAATCACATCTACGCCCACGAAGTCATTCAAATACAATTTTTGAAACTGGTGTAGAATAAACCATCTAGTTATCCCAGTGATAAGTTTTGTAAACAACCATGAGTATTCGATTCTAGACAGCCGTACTACAAATCACTGGTATTGAAACAATATAAGGAAAAGGAACCATTATGTACTTACAAATCAATAGGGCAAAGATCTCACCCCAACAGCCAGTCAAATTACAGCCAGTAAAAAGCCAGTAAAAAGCCAGTCAAATTACAGCCGTGACGGAGAAGCTATTCTGACCAGTTTTTCAATTTTTTTTTTATGTGAGCATGTACTATTTCTGTTACAGAGTTTGTTGTAAAGGGTTTCGTATTGTTAATACTATGCCTCGAGTGCGTATTCCTCAACTTAGTGAGTTTGGGAGAGGACGAATTGTTACCTTACGTGAGACAGGTTTTTCAGTTATCAGATATTATCAGACATGGACCCAAGAAGGCCAAGAGCACAGCTAAGGGCACCGGTCTTCGCAGGGGAACAACAGCGCGTGAGGATCGCCGATTAAGACTTTTGGCACTTAAAGATCGTAGTCTGCAGCGATGAATCTCGATTTTGTTTGGGTATGCAAGATTGGCGAGCAAGAGTAAGAAGGCGTCGTGGTGAAAGGCGAGATCCCCAGTTTACTGTGGAGAGGCATGTTCACCATACTGTTAGTTCAATGGTATGGGGTGCCATTCATATGGTAGCAGGACACCTTTAGTCTTTATTTGGAGCAACATGACAGATCTTCATTACATTTACGAAGTAGTGGAGCTTCATGTCCTTCCATATCTTGAAACCATCGAGAACCCCATATTTCTATAAGACACGTGATAAGAGTAACTCCAGACTTCATGATTCAGCACGACATTACCCGCTTACCATGTCCACCCACCCTATCCCGCACCTACACGGGTAATGGGCGCGACATCTTCGACATATGATGTGTGGTAGAGGATGCTCGAAAGAGTCCTCGACGGTTACTCATCAAACGTTGGAAAGGGAACTTTCCTAACATGAGTTCTAGGGGGGAGGTGAGTGCCCGCTCGCGGCTGGAGGCTAGCGAGCCTCATCTCCAACTGGCGTTGGCCTCTTAGGGGCAGCGGCTCCGCTAGCGGG